ACATAAACAGATACCTTTTTCATTACCATTTCTATGTCCATTGCTATAATCAGTACCATTACCATTATCAATATAATTACCATATCCAACGACCATTAGCGAATCCAGTACCAATACCATTACCATTTCCACTTCCATTACCATTATCACTTCCATTACAATTACCATTAGCATTACCACTACTATTGTCAATATTCTTTCATGGTGGAATGTTTTCCCTGTAAAATTATCCATGTGGGAACCACTCCTGCGGTTTATTGTGAATTGTAGGCAGTTTTTGGCTTGCCAAAAGTCGTTGCTAAAAATTTGAGAGAGACCAAGAGAGGCGGTCATAACGGCTTAAATAAACAACTAAAACATTGACGTTATCAGTAATTTCTCGTACAGAAGAAATGCTTTCAAATCCAACACTAGCATCAATTTTGGTTACAAAAATTCTTTACATAATTCACTGTTGGCCGACGAATGTATGTACATATGTATATGGCCTCGTATGTCGGAAAATTAGAAGGCAAACGGCTTGCTGCTGCTATCACATTGATTTATTTTACTTAATAATCAGGCGAAAAATCAATTCAGGCCTTTTTCTCAATTTTCGGCAGTCATTGAAAGCTCGCAGCAGCTAATTCTGAAGAAATATCTACTTGGACTATTTCGAAAATCATCAGTCTTTTTGTGTTCATAATTAGCTGAAAAGGCAGGTGCTTATTAATTTCTTTAAAACTGAATGCTACCATCTCTCTCAGCCAGTTACGAAAGGGGGCTAATAAATTTGGGCCATTTATTCGTATGAATGAAAGCCATGCAATGTGGACTATAAAAGCAAACATAAAAGAGCATTTTTTACATAAGTACACACGTACGTAAATACACAGTTTATTTAGCGATCTAGAAAACTTTCACTATATGTTTTTTCCGGCATCATAAAAAGACTTCTAAGCACTTAAACTGCGTAAACTTTACATACTCGCATGAAAGTAGCAAACTCCTCAATATAAACGTTCCTTTTTAACTTGATATGAATAAGATATTATTTTGATTTCAAGTTGTATACATATGTACCATATTTAAAAGTTATCCTTTGAATTAACTTCTAATCTTCTGCCAAAGCTGAATGCTTTTTAGGCCTCTTATATTTTGGTATTTCCTTTCAAAATGTTTTGATACCACACATCGCTGTAGTTCTTTATGATATTTTTAAGCCCTTAAGCTAACTTGCTAATAAAAGCCGTAAATAAGATAAGTACGTCAATTACGTAGAAAAACGTGAATTCACTTTTTACAAGCGTCCAAGCACAAAAACACTATGCGTACAAGTGTTTCTATAGGCATGGTGTGCAACTAAATTCCTCTGTAGGAAAATATAACGGTTTTGGCCTGTTGACTTATAAAATAGCATGAAGTTTGGATCATCGCAGTGCAATATAGCAGAAAAAAATGGAAAAATTGGTAGGACAATTTACGCAGCTGATTTAAAAGTAAAGTTTAAAATTAGATTCGGCACAGATCAGACGAATCAATGATTCCAAGGTATTGCCAAAAACTACAATGCATTCCATGTCTGTTCGATCACCACTGTGAGGTTTGCGATATTCCTGAAAATTCCACTTAAAGGCATATGCGTAAATGGAAAAAGACGAACCACTCCATGCTTCCATCTTAGACAAATTTCGGGTGGAATATAGAAATTATGTTATGTTATTAGGGAAGGATGTAAAGTCCAGGACATAACAATAAGCCTACGTGGCCAGCGAATGAGCCGTTGACACCAGCAAACCGTCTTAACTGGTTAACCTCCAAGTCGATGAGTAAGACTAGGTTGAACTTAAAAGCACGACGATTCATCCCCTGCAATCGGGTAGTCGTATCGTAGATGATGTACAAAAACTTCAACTTGCAGACTTAAAATCCCTTGGTCTGTTAACCAAGTGTAATTGCAGCTAAGGTTAATCTTTGGGAGCCTTATTAAATTTTTTGCTCTGATGTTTTATGAAACAGCACTAAGTCCTTTAAATTGGAGGCCCAGGGCTCGATTCTTGGTCCGATAAATATCTCAAAAACTTTTTTCCTAATAGCGGTACAAAACTTTCCAGTGTATTTCTGCCAAAGCTTATCCTTGAAACTATTCGCGGCGTAAAACTCTACGTATAAAGTATAGCAAAAAGTATCACTTGTGCTCGCTCCGATTTTACTGTAATTTTTTACATGTGCTATTTTTACTTAGGAATAAAGAAATCTTAAAAATCGCAGATTGGAACCTGCTTCACCCAAAACACTAAGGGGCGGAAATGGTAAACGTAACCAAGGTTTTTGTGTTAGTTTCAACACAAAAAACTTAAATCTGGAAGTTGGTCAAAACAGGCCGATTGCCACGCCCAGCAGTCATAAAAAATCGATTTAAAAACCCCAAGTTTTATTATATCGCGGTAATAGGCATGTCAAAGGCCTCTCCAACTGCTTAGTTACTATTTCGAAGCATTTCAAATTTTAAATATTCTGCCAAGCTCGAACCACTGTGCCATAGTGAGAACTTTTACTGATGACCATCAAAACTCATTATCGCCTCGCCTTGTCTATAAATCATTTGTAACGGCGATCATATATTCAACAACTTTCTGATCAGGGGCCGAAAATAAGCGTTAGATATCAAGATTTTTATTTTTAGATCATTGCACAAACGTAATGTTTCAATCAAGAATAATAACTAAAATTGGATTTTTTTTATGTTTCTGTAAAATTTAATCGTTATTTTGTGATTTGTTTTTCTTTTTTTCGTTCAAAAATAATCGATATCTTGGCTTTTTATATTTTTTTCAATCATTTTTAACTTGATACTGCATTCTTATGACTGATTCACATTTTTTATCATCTAAAAAATTAAATCTGAAAACTATAACCATTATTTAAGATCGTAAAAACAAAAATCCAGAATCAGAAGTCATAAAATAACGGTTAATTTTGATCGAAAAAATAGAAATCCAATTTTAGCGGTTAAATTATGATTTTTATTATCTGATCTTAGGTGAGGAAAACTTGGAAATTCTGTGCAGGGAGCCAATTTTCGTTCTATGATTGAAGTGAAGTAAAAACTAAAGATCACATTCAGTGAAAAATCGATTCTCTATCATTAACCGATTTTACCAGCTTTTAAATAAACATCTAACAAGTAATTTCTTGTTAAATTCTCGTGAGTAAAAGGTTACGTTTTTGAGTAAAATGGCCAACTTATCTTTTTCACAGCCACAAATGCTTGTGAAAAAACTTTTCACAGTAAAAACTTTTCGCAGTCAAAACTTTTCGCAAAAATTCTTTTTCGTTTTTTTTTCGAAATCTACCGAAGCAGCTCCAAGTCAGCAACATAGTAAACAAGAATTTTCGTTTCGTAATTTTCATCCAATTTGATAACCTTTTTGTGAAACTTGTGCTTTATCTAACCAGAATTTAATGCGTAATAAAACTGCATTCTTTAAAAAATTCTGAAAAATCTCACTAAAAAGTTGAAAATCTACATACAGCTTTGCAATTTGAAAAATGAGCATGTACAACAAATTTAAATTTCTGGGTTGAAAATCGACAAGAAAAGTGCATAAAACCAAAAACCAAAATTTTTTGTTGGACCTACCCAGCAAAGTTCTAAATTTTTTTCGAAAGTTAATTTTTCAACGAAATATAATCAATATATCGAGCCCTAACCGCCAAAATAACGTAAGCGACATTTTTTTCAAAATTTTCGTTTTGATGCAGAAATGTATCTAGATGATCTAGGAATATTTCTGCATCAAAAAGAAAATTTTGAAAAAAATGTCGCTTACGTTATTTTGGCGGTTAGGGCTCGATATAATGGCACTATTTTTTTCTTGTAGGTCATTGTGTCAGCTTTCGAACGCATATTTTTCCATATATTCTCCTATCGAGAGATTAACGATTTTTTCCATCGAGACTCCCAAATCGTAGACTCTGCGCCCCCTCATAGCGTATTTTTAGTTCAACAGCTCCTGCGTTGTACCTTTACCACTTATAATTTTCACAACTTTGTTTAAACCCAGAATCAATGTTGAATCCTTGACCTGCACAATATTTAAGAATAAAAACAAAACTTTCAGCCGTCGCCGCTCGGTAGGCAATTTTAAACCTTCTTCAATGAAAATATAAAACTTAACTACAAAACTAGGCGAAAGTGGGGTATCGTTGAAAATTTTCTATGAGATTTTTCAGGAAATATATTTCTTCTATTTTTGATCTGAGCACGCCAAGCAGGAGAACGATATCAGATTCCCTACCCTCATGAGAGAGTCTGTCAGACATAAGATAATAACTGTCGGAGAGTTTTCCAACTTCATCAAACAAAACAAATATGACAAAAAGTTCCTCAATAATTTTTGTAACACTCGCTACTAACTTCAAAACAGCCTTCACACTAAAATACATATAGTTGAAACTTGGTTTGTAGTCTAATGATTTTTAATTTTATTTTAATTTGAAAACTTCCTTTATTTACGCCAAGCCTTCACTACTTCCACTTTTTCCACATGGCAGCTAAACATCCGTAACATACATACATAAATATTTACAGTCAGGTGTATTTGCCTGCCCGAAAAGTGAGTGCTACTTACAGCCACTTCCACTACATCCGGCATATTTCCTGTTTTATAATTTTTTGCATTTACATTTTACATTGCTCACTTTGCCTTCCACTCCTTTGCTGTTATCCACACTCATGAGCGCATTAAAATGCTCATTAAAATTTAAGTGGCACGGCATTGGATAAAGGTGTGTGTAGAGGCTGCCACTAACATGGATTACACGCTTTCCGAGCGAAAAATTTTACAAAATGTTTCCAAAAAATATGAAAAACGCGCTGCTTTAGGAGTAGTAATTTAACAAAAGTGTTTGCCTATTAACTTTATTTTGTACAGCTTAGAGATAAATACATAGTATATGTATACATAAAATTATGTTTTTTAAATGAAAAACAAAACGCTTTTTTGCCTCTTTTGCAGCGTTAAAACGGAGCTGATGGACGATGGCGCCAATTCAACATTATCCATAGCGAAAATCAACAAGTCCGACTCCGGCAACTATACGTGCGCAATTAGTGATTTTCAAAATTTCAGCATAGTCGTACACATACTGAATGGTAAGTAGCTGAGACATTTGCAAATACATACTACATTCACACAAAACGCGAAAGCAGTCAAAGCACAAGCTGTTGTTGTTGTTGTTGGCTTTGGGTGCTTTCGCTTTCGCTCTCGCCTTTGCATGAGCGCCAGCATATGCTGCCACAAACGAGCTCAGCAAGGATATCCCACCTGTTAGTGCTTTCCTGCTTCCTGCCTTTTTGTGTGTGCATTCATCCGCGCAGGAAGACACACTTGCCACCTCTAACTAAGCCTTACTACTTATATACTCGTACATACATATACCTACATAAAGGCATGCTTATTATAAAACTACTTTTTTAATGCCTTTAACTGAATTTGTTGCTCCACACGCGCGCCGCCTTTATTTGTTGATATGCTGGTGTGTGTGTGTTTGTGCGTGCAGAGCTTTCTTTTTTTCTGGATTATGTGAAATCAGTTGTGCAAATTCAGTTAACGTCACAAGCATTTAACAAACTAATTAAATGGGGAAATGCACATGTCGCTCATTAAGCGAGTGTTTCCTTCTCAGCGCACCGCTCCAATTCTCTTTTCGCCGTCTGCTGCTTATCTGCTTCATTGCTCCTGTCAATATTGTGCTCATCGTACAAGTTGGGCGCCTTCATACTTATTAGCATTTATTTTCGTGGAGGTTACATGGTATCTGGTGCTGACTTTTATTACATTTATGTATAAACTGTTATAGTGATGATTATTATAATATTTCTATGTAATTAGTGGTGCTGACAAGTCAATTGTTGCATTGATGAACAATAAAAGAGGAGAGCCAGATGGTTGAATAAGATAGAGAAAAAAGATTTTATTTTGTTTACTAGTGCACGACATCATGTTGACCCTCAAATGGACGCAGCAATAGTTTTGTTCCAAGTCCGAATGGCAGATGCGTTTTATGATATGCTTTTTTTTATAGAAGAAGAGTTCTTAGAGGTTTTCCACTATTGGAGGACGATAATTGTTAAGAAACCATCTTTTGCCTGCTGATCGGTCTAAGATGCAATAGGGTGGTGGTGCGCACTACTAGCTACGCCGTCACGCTTTACAGCGTAAACTATTTTTCGGGTGCATCAAAACCCAGTAGTAATGGGGTTATCTCCTTTTTAGAGCCAGTTTTTTGCCTAATAAAAGAAATTTACTTATATTTTTCATCAAAGACAATATGAATGGCAACTAAAAAAAAATTTGTTGTCAATAGTGCACTGCGATACCTGTGACCGATGTGAACGATAAATCGAGAAGAAGATTAATTAAAAAAATAGAGCTTAAAACAGGGCTTCGGAGCGGAGCAGAGCAAAGGAGCGCGGAGCGAAAAAGCAAAAAATTTTAGCTGGAGCAGAGCTGGAGCAAAAAGCTAAAAAAAAAATAATTTGCTTCTAAGCTCCTTAAAGAAAAATCTTCAATATTTTGTTGTTATTTTCTGGCATAGTAACGATTTATTTTGAAATATTTTTATTGTTGTTTTTCCACAATAATAATGGCTTCAAGCTCAATAAAAATTTAAAAAATTAGTTAATAAATGTACATAAAATTAAATTTTTTGTCACTGAAAACAACCGTGTTAAATAAATTTCCCTATATAAATAACTTGCCAAGTTTTTTTAATTTTCACTTGGATGCAGAAGAGTTCCTAGGGCATCTAGATGCATTTCTGCATCAAAAAAGAAATTTTCAAAAAAAATTCGCCTACATTTTATTGGCGGTTAGGGCTCGACATGTAAATAAATAAGTAAATAAAAAATAATTTTATTGAGAGCGGGAAAGGAGCAAGAGCGGAGCTCGGAGCGAAATAAAATACCGGAGCAAAGCTAGAGCGGAGCGAAGAAAAAAAACCTTCGCTCCGAAGCCCTGGCTAAAAATGTCTTAGTTCGAATATTTCAAAATTCTAGTAGACAAAAATTCGGCCTCAAATTCTATAAGAAAATTACAGTTTTTGATTATGTTGTATATTTTTACCTGTTCTTAAGATCACGGAGATCGATTCTTTGGCGTAAGAACAGCGATAATTTGTGTTTAAAACTTTGTAAAAAGTTCATTACATAATGGTTACAGGTCAAAAAAGGGAAAAGCGATTTTAAGGGCCAAGGTTTCTATCCAAGGAGACTAATTTTCAAGAATTCAATATCTCAAAGGCTTAAAACTACCGTTATACATTCACACTGCACTCAAAACTGAAACTTCGCTAAATATTTCTAATTCCAGTATGATTTTCCATATATCTTTTTGATTTGGATTTCAAGCAGATTCCGACGAAATCCCAACGAGATCCTCTAGCAAATTAAGAAACAAATTATGTCCATCGTCCACCCCTTCTAAAATTGAGGACCTTTTTTATTGGAAGACGCAAGAAAATTAACTGCAAGTCGGTGATCCTCTATCTTTTGGTCGTTTTACCAACTTTTGGTTTCGACCGAAAGTGTGATAAGGTGACCGAAAGTTTATTTTTAAAATGGGGCATACATATTTTTACCTGAAATTCGGATTCCGCAAACAAAAATGCATAACTTTTGTTGGAAATTTTTTCTTCTTTTATTATGTACTATTTATTATTATGTATTATTTCGCTATCTGTTTTTGTTCTGGAGATATTTTATTTTATTTTTTTTTTTTCAAAACAAAAAGTTCATTTTACACACTGTGCGAAGCTAGAGACCTCCTAAGAGAGCTAAGAGAAGCAATCAAAAGACGTTGGTCAATACATAAATAGAAGTCGCGCATTAGGAGTATCGTTAGGAGATCAAGCGAAGAGTAAATAACTCTTGTCAACAGGTTCCACTTGTAGCTTGGCTGTCAATAAATGCAATTTTGGTCCTTGTGCATTGCACAGAAACGTGGACTATGTCGCACTCCGAGTGCTCGGTCACTCGGGATTACCGGGTTGTATCATCTGCCCATTTGGGCAGAGATAGCACAGACCAGGTATCCCTCGATCCGCAACGATTCATAGCCCTCCCACCTTCGGCAATAACTGGGAAGCTTCGACAGAATGCAGGTGGGCGAAACAAATGTTGGCCCCAGTTTCGGGGAGTTGTGCTCGGTATATGCTTTCATTGAACAGATTAGACTGCAAATGAGACAACACAACTACTGCAAAGTTGAGAAAAAGAATGAAACTGTAGCTGAACGCTCCTTCTCTAGCACAATAAGCAAACTGTGTCTGATAGCTTAAGCGTATCCAAGGCAAATCAAATAGGTATCAGCATGAGAGTAAAAACAACAAGCTGCGTGTATTTTGTTGTTGATTTTGGACTCTAAAATGTCAAAAAGGCAAACAAAACCTGTCGTTTCAAAGTAAAATGTAAACAAAAATTACAATTGATGGACCACTTAGAATGAAAAAAAATTACCAATTCCTTTCGCGCTGTTCCCAAAAAAAAAAACATCTTGACTGAATATAAAACTTAGTTTCTTTGTGAAATCCATTGCAAATCATTCACTTTTCGTAAAAGTTTTTCTATAATAATTTTTCTTTTGAGTTTGCATTGATTTTCGTTTCCCTTTTCTTCTTTTGCTAGCCATAGACAAACTTTGCTGCTGTTCATTACACTTCATTAATTGCATCGTCCAAGTACTCATTATGCAATTATTCCACTTCATAATATTCATTAATAAAATCTATGAGTTGAAATATTTTTCGCTTAACAGCTTTAATCAGCGTAGAGTTTATACTTATTCTTATTACTCATATTGGATACAATAAGCAATCGAGATTGCCGTACGTATATATGTATATCTAGATAGCCATTACTTAATTATAACATTCTTGTTTGCTTTTCTTGTTGTTCTTCTTCTATGTTTCTTCCACTTTTTCTCCTATCTATGCAACAACTTGCTGATTGCTGTTGGCCTTAATGTTACACCCGCTGTTACAACGATCCGTTGACGATGTACATCCGGCACGACGCACTTGTGTCTGGTCATACGCTCGCTGCTGCTGCCGCCGCTGTTGCTGCTCTCCTCCCTCGACGACCAATTGGGTTTTAGGTGAGAGTTTCGCCGAACTGCATCACGGCGCTGCGGCACCCAGAGTTCCTAACTCATTCCACCAGCTGTTAGTTGTTCATTGTGTGTTACTTAGCTCACTGCTGCTGTTGCTGCTTTTGCCACTACTTTATGCGCCACATCAACCGTATACACTCGGACCCAGGTAAAAGTTACTCAATTAGCCAAAAGCAGCGGCAACCGTGCAGCGGGCTATGGATTGGCGGAAGTGCCAACTGCTATAGAGAAAATGGTGAAACGCATAGCGTTATAGTTGAATTTTTATAATTTATCTAATTGAGTAAGTAATTGAACAAAAAAAAAAACAAAACAAGGAATTAAACTGATAATTAGTTAACGAGCATTATAAAATAGTATGCGGATGTAGAATAAATAATATGTTGAATTTATTAATGAAAAAAATTATTACATAAATAAAACGGTAAATAATACATTTGTTATATTGAAATTATTTTTATTAAACAATTATATACTATGTATGCATGTTTATGAAAGAATGAAACCACAAAAGCCACAAAACAAAAATCATTATAAGCCATTTTTTACAAATACTAGTAGTACGAATACATTCATATGTATATGCATGTTCATTGAAAAAAAAACCACTAAAACTAAAAAAATAAATGCAAAATCAGTGCTGAGAAAGCGCGATCAAAGTCGCATTAAAATCAAAAAAAAAACTGTAATTATTGTGTGTGCATCAAATTCCCACTGAAACCAAACAATTTAAGTTATTGCAAACAGTTCGCGCCATAGTTGTGCGCACAATACTCGTATTTCGACAATTTATTTACCCGATGGGGATTAGTGCAAATAATCGTCGCATAATTCGAGTGAATAAGTCAAATGCAGGCACTAAAAAAGCACTTAAAAAGGCAACAAAAATACAAAAAAAAATAAAACAATAAATATGCAGTGCATTTGAAATGCAAAATTATTGTGTAAACAGCGAATACCAAATTTAAATTTTTACATAATTTTTGCGCGTATAATAAAATTTTGTAAATTTGCTGAATCCGTAATATTTAATTTTTAGGCAAATTTTGTTTGAGAAAACAATTGCATGATTACACAAAAATTAAATAAATATTTTGATATTTTAGGTAAATAATGTGCAACAAAATTTTCATAATAACAAATTCCAAAGTAAATAACATTAGGAAATGCAAATATTTATTATGAAGTTGAATGGTTTTTTTGTTTTTATGTTTGCTTTTAGAGAGTTGTAGGGAGTTTGCAACAATTTAATAATAGGTATTGGATTGAGAAAAATTTTAGTTGGCGTAGCACAGTGCTTCTCTTCCATATAAAATGTAGGCAAAAATAGAATTATGGACGGATTTAAATGAAAATTCGCTTCTACATAAAATTGAGGACGTTAAATTCCCAAATGGAATTTGTTTTTGGATAGCTTTCAGACTTTCACTGTAAATGCAGTTTGAAGTTGACAATTTGGGTTCTTGTGGCATTTACATAGGTATGTACGTAGATATGTACATATATTTTCAAAACTGAGGTGTCAAATGACAGGAATGGGCCTGTATTTGTGCAATGAAGTTTTATTTTTTTGGAAAGGGGTGCCACCTGTTTAAAATTATTTAAGAAGTTAAAAGAATTTGATATTACAAAAAGGGTAAAAATTGAAATGGTTTTGAAAATGCTTTACTTCTAAACGACACTTGGAAGGGCCGCAACATGTTTAAAAAATCAGATTCACTTTCTTTAGTTAACAAAAAAGAAAAAAATGGATATATTTAGTAAAAAAAAGTGAAGAGTAAAAACAAAAAGTTAATTTAAAACAATGTATATATTTGTAATAAAATAACAAATACGATGTCGGAAACCTTTTTTGGTTTGACAAAATTATTATTTTAGTTTAACTAAATGCGAATTTACAAACAGGTGGCAACCCTCTTCGTAATATTTGCAAGCTAAAACCTTCTTAAGTCTCTTTCGTCTGACTCCTATATGGTGATACTTATCTATTTCAATTACCTAATTCCTTTAATTCAAATGGAATTTGATTTCTTAAACAGGTGGCAACCGTCTACATGTAGTTAAGAAATAAACCCTTTCATACACATTTCGATTGACTCAACTTATTAAATAATTTTAATTTAATTTTTAACAGGTGGCAACTCTTAAAAAAAATAAACTCCTATTGTCTACTGGTCAAGATTTTTAATCTGACACTCCTTTTTTGAAAATTGAACGAATCTTGCAGATCTAATGGCACTGACAAAAAATTAAAAAAAATTATTTTATGCACTAGGAAAAAACGCACTATTTCAACAAGTAAAAAAACGACCAGGTTTTTATTTATTTTTTTGGAAAACTAAAAACCCATATTATTTAATAAAATAATAAAAAAATAACACATTTTTACATATATTTTTTATTCATTCTATTAAGAGTTACCATTTTTTGAAATCTTTATTAAAAAAAAAATTCTGGAATACTGCAGGCATACCCTTTGTTTAATTGTATTCCAAAATTTGTATTCCTAATAAAAACATCAAACCAACATTTTCTTTCAAAGAATGTATTTTTGACATTAGTTTCAGTGACTATGCTCTTATAAAAATTCTTAGTATAAAATTGGTCCAATTTAGTGGCTTCCTAGCGGCATATAATTTATTTTGTAGGGACATTTCTGTGTAATTCTTTTATTGGATAAATTACCTTTACAAAAATACCAAACAAGTTCACATTGCAGACAACGAATTTTTCGATTTTTGCCCATTTGAGTTGCACTGTGGTAGGCTCAAATTGAAATGTGCTTTTAAATTCCGTTTTTCTTTAATCTTACAAAGTTGCACAAATAAAATGGAAACCACGGAAATTATTCACCAAAGGAAGTTATTCTCTTGAGTTCTTAGAAGTCCATACATACATCTCTCAAGCAACTATTTATTAACGGACAGAGGTTCCACGAAACTATGCGTACCATGGCGTATGAGCAACATTATCATCTCGTCTGGGTAACTCATACGCCATGTGTACAGTGGCGGTCAAAACTGGTTGATTGGTGTTTAGTTTTCAATATTTACATACAATGTTTTTGAAGCAAAATTGTTTTTGTTATATCTTGTATACAATAAGAAAACTGTAGAAACTGTTTGTTTGTTTGTTTGTTTGTTTGTTTGTCTATTCGAACTCACTAATCTCTTGAACTACTAAATGGAGTTTCATGGGGCTTTAACTAGTATCTAGGCAATGACCACGCACATAACATGGGGTATTAAAAAATGGGATCTGACAAGGGGGCGTGGCACCTCCTATAGGCATGAAATTTTCAATCGGCTATAACTTCGAAACCGTAAGGCACACGACTTTGAAGCTTGGTGTGAAAACAGATCTATGATATATGTCGAAAGAAAAGTATTCGTATATATATAAATACGTTTGTAAAAGGGGGCGTGGAACATCCCACAGTCGTAAAAATTGTAACAGCTATAACTTTGGAACGATAACTTTCGAGTCACATGACTTCGAAATTTGGTGTGACGTCATAACTAAAGTAGGCGCTTATAGTGAGGTTAATATAAACGAATCTGTGCAAAGGGGTGCGGCACATTCCATAGCCGTGAAATTTTACATTTTCTATGCATATCCTTGGACTAAACTAAAAAATGTGTAAGGAAACCCGGCTTATTTATCATTTTATTACCTTTATAGGCAGTTTATCACTTTATCTAAATACCCCTGTTGTCAAAGAAGGAAACTAACTTAGCAAACAGCGTTGTAAAAATAAGCATACAATAGCAAAAACGTACCATTATGAATAGCATCATTTTTAACCGACTTCAAAAAAAGGAGAAGGTTATCAATTCGTCAGAATATTTTATTCTTGTTTTTGTGTTTAAGTGTGTGTGCAAAACTTTGTATACCACGTTAACCGATTTCTAGGCTAGTCCTCGGAGGTGGTCCCATACTAATTTGGTTTAGATCCGATCATTGCATCATGCAGAAGGTAACGATAATCTTAAATTTTTATATGAGCAATAAAGTAGGTTTTTTTTGGTTAAAATCACTTGTTTGTCACAAATGGTGTTGAACAGCTATCTTGAAAGACATTTTTTGTTGTTAATTTAACATATTATTTAGTACGGGAAGTATGGTTAAAAAATTTCCAACATCCTTTCCCGATTTTATCAATTTCTATTTAAAACGAAAGCATTTCTGCACCAGAATTTTTTTTCAAATTATTTAGTACCATACATTTTGAAACGATCTTTCGTCAACACTTTTCAAATCTTAGGGTAGAATCTATCAAACACTACGAGGGCCGCCTCCTTCTGCACTTTATGCCAGCATGGTCCAGGCGATGCACAACGACAAAAAACATACCTCCTGGCAACAAACAAAAAGTCCCCGCATATCACGGTTTACAGTTATAAATTTGAAGTATTGAAGGCTTTTTTAGGATATTTTTTTTGCCTATCACAATCGAATGACCGACTGCAGAAAAAGCTGCCTATGCTTGCTGCGAATAATTGGCGTAAATCTGTAAAACGGGGAGTGCCAAACAGGAAGAATGAAATCCTGATTCGTGAAAGCATTTTCAGTGCAGTCCCAGCTCTATATAGAATTTAACTGGTTTACCTTGAAGAGATTTTTTTTTTATATATGTTATTAAATTACGGTTTTGTTTTTGAATAAAATACAAAAAATATATTATATTAATATATCAGCTGCACGACCGCCATGAAACTTTGTTCTCAACTTCCTTTCATTTCAACCAAATCGAATACCTTAACTCACTAAGTAAAAGTAATTTCCTGCTGGGTGCATACATAAATAAGTTAGGTAATAATAATAAATAGGTAAATAGTTAAAAAAAATTATTCGCAAAAGCATGAAAAATCCAGGCAGTTAAATAACTACAGCGAGTAAATATTGTTGTCGTAAATAAGCAAACTCGTATGGAAACAACAAACATACAAACATATATATGCATAGCAACTAGTCATACATAGGTAAACTGTAGTTTAAAAATTACCGAACAGTAATATTTGTATTGAAAATACGAACAAAAAAAAACAAAACAAAACAAAACTTGCAATTGGAACTGTGAGGGAAAATAATGTATACTGATTAAATATTATTTATTTATCTATAGGAAGGGTGACACACACACGCGTAGTTAAATATGTACAAGTAAAAAATTTAACAAATATGTGTATGTATGTATGTACGTACTTATACACACGGGAACATACACACAGTTACATATGTATTTATAAATATATACATATAAGTAAATAATTGATAAGCAAATTTAGCAATAAAAAATTTATGAAATAAAATTTCTCCCTATGCATATGTAACTATTTTTAAACAACAAAAAAAAAT